GCTTGGAATGCAAAATGAATGAGATGCTGCACCGACCTTTGAGGAGCTCATGGCTTAGTTTCAGGCAATAGACAATTGTAATAAACTGAAATGAATATCACATGTGACTGAAATATCTTTAATTAGACTCAGGTTGGTTACAGAAAATTGCATTGTGTAGATAAAGTGAGACCAGATTACAAAAGGTTTTTAGAGTATTTGGATTTTATCACTTTTAAGGGTCTCTGACGTGATTCTCACTTATCCCTCCTGCTTATAGACTTCAAAATTCCTTAGAACTGGCCTCTTAAGGAAATGAATTTCTTCACCACCAGCCACCATGTGCTCTTTTCCTGTCTATCTGGTGATTTTGCCTCCTTGTTGGAAAAAGACACACTCAGCAATGGGATTTGGTGGATACATCTGGTAGCAGTGTGAAGATGGATTTGAGATTGGTGAAGAGAGGCAGGAAAACCAGCTGCTGATGTAACAGAGATAATGGGATTGATCTAGAGAGGTGGCAATGGGCCCAGAGAGGACAGACAGATGTGAGAGACATTTGAGGCAAATCAATAGGGCTTGTAACTGAATCAATGTGCAGATCAAAGGAGAGGAAAGAACCAATCATTTTGTAAACTATTTTCATTGGGTTCATTCATGCCAGCTCCCTGATTATTCACAAATATGTATAGCTTCCTATGGAAATAGATGAATCAAATAAAATGATCTCTATATTAATGGTCCATCATTAGATATGATTGGTGGCTACAGGACCTCAACAGGAAAGGAGTAGAGCTGGGCAAAAGAGCTCAAAGCTTTATGATGCCATTGCTTTGTGACAAATTAGGAAGATTTTGGATGTGGTGCATGGTGAAAAGGAGAGGTGTTCAGCTCAGTGGCAACTAATATTTATTAAACACTTTCACAGATTTTTGTCTCACTTAATCCTCTAAGTGACCCCATGAAGTCAGGAGACTTATTCCATTTTACAGTTGAGAGATCTGTAAGAAACCCTCTCTGCCATCAATAGTAAATATATTGGGATTTGGTGCTAGAAAGAAATGAACACATGAGGGGTGACATGGAGATGAAGCTGCTGTAAACTTTCCTAGTTCTGTAGGCTGCTTTATTTGGGGGCTGGATTCTTGTAGTTCTTATTAGAGTTCATTCATGGCATTCAACTTAGTTTAGTATCCCAGGCCTGGACCTCCTAAAAATGCTTTGGAATTGTCAGTGGGACTTTCCAGAGCCTGAATAGAGCTCACAACAGATTTAACATAAGTTCCTGAAGTTATGTCTACTCCCGTACTTCTTCTATCCTGTTTCTGTCACCTAGAGCTGGGGTATCCAACTTTTCTGTGTGTAAAAAGTCTTTTTTAATTTCAAAGTATTTCATGGATCTCCAGCTTGATAATAGTTCAATAATAATAGTACTATTTATACCTATTGAAAGACAAAATAAATTCTGAAGAAGAGAACTATTAATTTAGTAATTGGTGCTTTCAAATGAATTGTGGTATATTCAGAAATAGTTGCACAACTTTTGTGAGTATTTACACAGACTGCATATGAGGATTGATGCATACAGGAATCCTAGGACTCCTGGCAGTGACTCTAAGGCAAACTAGGAGAGAAGAGGCAATAATACTATGAGATGTATTTGGTAGGCCAGTAAGTGAGTAGAGCACTGGAGAAGGAAATCTGGAGGAGAAATGCAGACAGGTGCTGAGTGGTTTACTAACACATGGCGGGTATATCCAGGAAGTAATACCTGGAAGATTCTGAAAGAATAGTTAGGTTCCTTTTACTAGAACATGGGTTCAGGGACTATAGGAGAAGCCCACTTAAAAGTCAGGACCTCCTGGGAACAAGGAACCCACTCTACAAGTAAGAATCCTGTTAAAGCTGGAGCTCTATGTCCATATCAAGGATGACCTGATGTTGACCTCGGAGTGACCTAGAGTGCGATGTGTGTGATGGGGGAGGAGGAGGGAAGGGGGTAGGAGGCACTAACAGCTACTGCTGCTTCCCATCTGCCAGGGAATGTTAGGCCCATAGCATTGCTGACTCCTCATAGTGAGCCTGAGAGGTTGATATTGTCAGTCCCACCATGCAGATAGGAAACAAAGCCCAGGGAGGTTAAGTAACTTTCCCTAAATACATGCTTATAATGGTGAAATATGACTGGGAGCATGTCTCTCTGGGTTTAAAACCTGTGCTTGTCTCCAGTACCATACTGCTTAAGTATCTTCTACTCAAGGTCATTGGTTCTGGGAATGGGGTCAGGGTGAACAACAGCTGTAGGAAAGAGAATAAGAACAGAGGTTAGTAATTTGATGGATCCCAAGACCTATCATTCCCTGGTAGCCTTTAGTTCACTTTAGACTTCTTTTCTCCTTTCCTCTTTGTAGCTGTGCTGAGTGGAGAAAGACATGCCAAGAGATTTGAGAAATAAAAGTATACTACAATACACAATTTCTGAACTTCCAGACTGATTTCCAAAGTCCAAGGACATCCCTAATACAATTTGAGATATGTATAAATCCATGATTTTAGGAGCTTTTTCTTCTCCTAGTAATATGGAGTAGTCTAGTTTAGTTATTACAAAGGAGGATGCTGGTTAAAACAATTATCATGAGTTTATTATACAACTGCAGACCCTGGGGCTGGATTGCCTGTGTTTAAATTCTGATTCTGCCACATTCTAGCTGTGGGGCCTTAAGAAATTTACTTAATCTTTCAGGTCTCAGTTTCCTCATCTGTAAAGTAAAAATAACAGAATACCTACCTTATAGATTTATAGTAAGGATTAAGTGAATAAAGTACTTAAAGCAATGCCTACTACCTAGGATACATTCAATAAATGTGCCCAAAGTGGGTGTCAGAAAGGGCGTACACAGTTGCCTGAAAGTATTAAAATAATAAAAGGAAAAATGGGAGAAGGGCTGCCTGCTGATGTTAATTGTATTTTAGATTAGCTGCCTACAGCTGTCATC